TCCATAGCATATGGAAGAATAAAAAAAAAAACCACCTTAAATTTTGTGTTGTGATTATGCCTTATTTTTTTTCAAATATATCATGCAATGGGTATAGCAACAGATGCCAAATTTTTTAAATATTCACGTTTTCATCAATTTTGCCATTTTACACAATAAATATGATTTAATTGAGGAATGAACAAGAATAATAATCTCTTACTCTTGCCTGTCCTATGAAAGTGTTTAGTGTGATAGTACTTAGTTTGAAATAATTTTTTACTTGCCAATCACCTGTTACAAATAAGGTGAACTATTCAGCATCAGCTCAGCGATGAAATGGAAGTTCAGGGTTTACCTCATAAATGTCTCAAATACAAGTCCAGAAGGCACATTGAAACATTTATTAAGTTTCTTTCTGCTATCATAAAGTCTCTAAGGAAGTTTTGGGCATAATCAGCTGTTGTAAATGAGTAATGCCCAGAATTGCATAAGTACTGAACTGAAATATATGTGTATTGCAGAGTTAAGTCTTTCATTGGAAAGACTTGTATCCAGTAAGACACTCTTAACTCCTTGTTATTGTTGATTGAGTTTGTTATGCACTGTCTCTGTTTGTGTAGAATTTCAAATGTATTTTATTGTTCTAAACCAGAAATATCATTCAACAAGATCTTTATAGGCAATGAGCATCTCTTGTATCAGAATTTCAGAATTGAGATAGTTGTTTGTTTGACATCTGTTAATTATAAAAAATTAGAGCAGGTAATAGAACTTCAGGCATAAACCAGAAGTTTTTCTTAGGAATCAGAAGAACTAATGTCAGGTGCAGAATTTTCAGTGCAAAGTCTCCAGTATCCGATAAGGTATGACTAATAGTCTCATATATTTTTCTTTCTGCTTTATCAGATTGGGCAGCTGCATTTTTAAAATAACTGTGTTGAACACGCCAGTAATTTGATTCCAGAATTGGAACTTGACTGGAACCAAGAGACTGTGGCAAAGTCTCTAGTTTCTTGAGGGTTTCCTGTGCTTAATAGTATCTTTTGAGTTGAGAAGATTTGTGCTCAATAGTTTTTATTTTTCTGCATTATTTAAATCCAAGAAAAAGGGTGCAAATTTGAGTAACAATCTGCAAATCTGTGTTGAGTATTTTTAACTAGTAAAAATGGTCTCATGGGTCTGCATCAACAATTTTACAATCTTCCTTCCAAAATTGTTGTTATGGTTACTACACAAGTAGTTCCTCGTGTAAATCTTGATGTAGATTAAGGACTGAAGGAAGACCAGGAAGGAAGGATGGGCAAATGCTGTCCGCGCTGGCAGTCCAAGCTGGTGAGCTGTCTGCGGCTCTGCTCTTCTGAGTGCAAAACATTCTTGGTTTTATAAGCTGAGAGTTGATAAACTCATTCGTAGTATGGGGAGAAAAAAATGTTAAAAAGGGAGGACAATCAGTGTTGTCGCCTTCATTTCAGGCTGTGTGTCTGTGATTAATCAAATCTGATTTAGACATGCTGAGTAACCTTTGAACTAGTGCTTAATGCATTATACGTTATGTGTGGAGGGGACCGTGGGTTCAGAGTGATGTGCTGTAATGCCTAAATACTCTAAGTATTTTGGGCATGATAAGCTTATTTATTTACTATGTGGATGAAAATGTTTAAGGTCATTAAAGCTTTATCTGTATTAAGTAATACAGGTTTAGTTAAACTAGTTGCAATTACAGTGATTTTCTTGCTTTGGTCCAAAGTCTTACCATGATAAACTTTTATCAAAAAAAACCACCCCCACACAGAGTGACAGGAAAGGTGTGGAGGGTCTGTCTTCGGTATTCACAGAAACACAGCCATGGTTCACAAGAAAATGAATTTTAAAATCTGCCGTGTAAGGGTTAGCATTTTGTTCTAACTTTTTTGTACTATATCCTTGGGTTTGTCTATCATCTGATGTTATTGCAGTTTTTAAATACTTTAAATATAGTCTTAAAGTCCATTAGTCTTCAAGTTTCTTGCTGATGTGTTAAAAAGATTGTGTTCGTTGTTTGCACAGAAGTCCAGGTGTTGTTTCAGTAGCAGCAGTGGCCTAATTACCATTTCTGAACACTGTGGCTTATAAATGTTTTGATTAGATAAAGGTGTTACTTCCTTAATATTTCTATTGTAATTGAAAAGAAAAAAGGTTTCAGGGAACTATTTTGGGTAGCAGGATAATTAAAATATACACACACATATATATAAATGTATTTAAACCTTCACATTCAGACAAATTCACACCTCATCATCTTGCCTGATGTAAATAGTAACTTTTCTTGAACATAAAGCTTTTCAAAATACATTGTCAGTCTTCTATTTTTGGGTCAACATATAAAGGAGCATTTTGCATTTTTTTTAAAATAATATCTCTTTATTTCTAGTGATTATTAAAGCACACTTATGTTTGAAATGTTGAGCATATTTTATGGGGGCTCTGCCAGTACTCAACCATATAAGTGGTGTCTGATTTCTTAAATAAAAACTAACCAAGGATACTATATAGAAAAAAAAAAAAGGTTTTAATGAGAAACCTTGATATGTAAATGACGTGACTACGGAAAAGAATTTTTAAAAAGTGTAAATTTTTTTTATTATGATTTAAAAAAATCTCAAACTTCAGCATTACAGTGCAGTTTTGACACTGTATGGTGCAGCCATTTATACAATCAGGGTCTTGACTACATTACTCATATCAAAATTTATATATTTCAGGTATTGTTAATATTTCTGTAATATTTTGAACAATATTTGTCAAATAGTGACGTAGCTTTTTCAAAGACAAGCTGAAGATAAAATACTAGAATATACATTAAATTCCTTTTCTGTGTATTAATATGAATTTGAAAAATCCTTTTAAACAGTGCATCTCATTTTATAAACATTTATGTTAATATTGCTGCTTACTGCAATTTGAGTAACTATAGTTATCTCTGGAAGCATTTTCCAAGAGTTTGACTTCTTGGCAAAAAAAAAAAGAAAAATTATGAACGTGCTTTAATATTTTCACAAAATCATACATTTATTGGCAAGTATTGTACAAACTCAAATGCTTTTGTAGTTGAATGAGAAACTAACAAAGCCTCTTCATAAGTTGGACTTCCTGACTTCATGTCACGTGAACAGGCCTTATGTGTTTACTACAAACAGTTTCTGATACGGGATACAGCTGTATTTGAAATTCATCTTGAAAACAAACTTCATAGTACAAAACCTACTTTTGGTCTTCCGTATTCACTTTTGTTAATTTAAACGAGAGCCTGAGGTGAAAGTTAAAAACCACTGAAGGTTACAAAAGCTGTTGAGTTATCTTAACTTGCTTATCCTTAATGCTGTACCTATGCTCAGGAAGCAGACTCTCATCTTTGTTTCCCACAGCCCCTCAGCAGAGGTGGTTTGTAACCACAACCTTCTAATCGTTTCTTTGCTCCGTGACTTAGTGTGAATTCTGAAGAGTTGCTGGAGTTGCCTGTTCTTCTCCTCTCTTGGGGTGCCAGGGTGGAGACCCTTTGGTCTTGGGGTGCTACTTCTGCTCAGAGTAATTTGATAACAGTTCTCTCTAGCTGAGCTGCCCTGTGTTGTTTATTTCTGAAATTGCTTGCTGCCAACTGAGGATGGGAGCCATGTGTGCGTCTGGTACAGGTCAGCACGTGCTGGGCTGCAATGCTAAAAGCGAAAACAAAGGCTTGTTTTGCCAGACCTAACTACTGAGGATGTTTAAATAGTGTAACAATCCGGAGTTTCTCATGTAAAGTAGGGATCATGAAAAATATGAACTCCCAGGTTGATACCTGTTAGATGTTTGGGTGTTCTTTTGGTTGTGGTTTGTTTTTGTGGCTTTTTTGTTTGTTTTTTCTACTTTTTTTTTTTTTTCAATATCTTAAGAGCAGTTGCTGGAAGTTGTGATTGCCCTGAAACCATCAAAATTGGAAACATTCAACTCCTTGTTTCCTTTGTGTTGTGATGCTTTGGATTACGGGATATATGTGCATTTTTCTCATATTACAGAACAAAGTAATGGTTGTTTTTCATTGTGTCTTGTAGATTTTGGTGGAGCAACGTATAATAATGAGCGACGACCCTATGGTTTTTGGTTTCCACCTGAGCAGCATGCAGAAGAGGAAATAAGAAGACAAAGGCTTCGTAGGTTTGAGAGACGATGAAACTGGCAGGTGTTGATGTCAATTGTGAAGTGCTATTCAAAGTTACCAAAATATTTGCAGATTTTTTTTTGTAATCTGTAGATTTGTTCATAAAGTTTTTTTCAGTTTTTTTACTACTAGTTGGAAAACTGCAGAGAATTTTGTGAGTTCAGGCTCAAAATTGGAACTTGCATAAAAAGTGTGTAAAATAGGAGTCAAAATGTCATCTTTGACAGTCTCTAATACATCTTAAATATGGAAGAAGACTGATGGTTTTACCAAACTGTCTTTTTTCTTAAATTCTTTGTGTAGCTTCAAGAACTCGTTGGCTTTTTGACTGCTGGTATTCTCAGACAACAGGTTTTCTTCATCCATCACAGATGAAAAAAAAGGTTACTATTTTTTTTTTTATACAATTGCAAAACTATGCAATTTTTCCTTACAGACTTGTCTCTGCGTATCTCTATGATCAGCTGTTTTTAGGATTGGCATGTAGAATGTCACTTGAAAAGATTGCTTCGATGGCAACATTAGATCATCAGAGTCTCGGCTTAAGCTTTTCAGCAGTCTTGCAAACTGTGTGAAAAATAGTTGTCGCTCTCCTTACCCTAAGGAGTTAATACAGCCTTTAGTGTTGCAGTCTTCATTAAACCATGCCATTTTATCTACAGCTTGTATGTGAGAAAATGAGTTGTAGCTACTTACTAGTTCCTAAAGTGTTCCTTAATATTTATGTTTAAAATAAAAAAAAATGCTTCCCTTCACAGAGTTGAAATAATTTGTTAGGAGTTTTATGGAAGTGGAGGTGGATACATATAAAGAATATATTTATTTAGTAACTTTCATTTTTTCAAAGCATCTATTTCCCTTTTTTAGAAGGCTTGGAAATTGTGTCATGTATATGAAGGCTCCGGGGTGATCTTATCACAGCCTTCCAGTACCTAAAGGGGGCCTACAGGAAAGCTGAAGAGGGACTTTTTACAAGGGTGTGTAGTGATAGGACAAGGGGCAATGGCTTTAAACTGAAAGAGGGCAGATTTAGATTAGATACAAGGAAGAAATTTTTTGCATTGAGGGTGGTGAGGTACTGAAACAGATTTTCCAGAGAAGTTGTGGATGCACCAGTGTTCAAGGCCAGCTTGGATGAGCAGCAGTAAGAATTTGCAGACTTGTGAAGCTCTTGCCTAAATACAGGCTGCCTTGAATTCTTCATTTTCTAGAAAGCATTTGTCTCCCCAACTCTAGAGTAGTTGATAGGAGACCAGAGAGCTCTGTTGTTACTTTGGACATACTCTCCACTCGCCACACAGTGGCTGTCCTGCTTGTGGCACATCTAACTAGTCAGTAATGTTAACTAAAGAACCTGAGGGTTTTTTGTTCCGGTATGACTCAAAAATTGCTCATTGCTCGGGCTTTTTTCCTCATAATAGCAGAAATTCTTCTGAAACTGGGGACGCTCCTCTAAGTATTTTCAGTCCTGAAGAGGTGTGATTGCACAAGAATGATTTGATTATTGGCGTTTGGCACTGAGCTCTTGGAATCTCTGCAGCACTAATTTAGTAGAGCATTAGGATAAACCATTTAATGGTTTCTTTTCACTTCGTGTGATCACCAGTCTGTGCTTTATGAAGTCTGCTTCCCTACGGAGTTACAGTTTGAATGTAAAAACATAGTGCTCTATTTTTCGTACAGAAAAAATTCCTGAAACTATTTATTTACTATGCTCTTTATTTAAAGAGTACACCTTCTGGTGGTAAGTAAGCTTTTGTTTGCTGAAAAATGTGCAGGTTGTTCTTTCTCTCCTGTGCCATTCTCACTTTCACCACCCTTCCTGTACCTATTGTTGATTTTTATGCCAAGCAGTAGCACAGCATTGTTACACCAGGTGTGTGGCTCGAGGTTCTGAGCACCAAAAGACACGACTGCCATGTGACTTGGGATATACTCGTTCAGGTAGTGTAAGAACACTGTTAATATTACGTGAAGTGTTTTGTGGCAGATCCTAAGGATTCCTAAGTATATAAGGAATGCTAATTTTTGGTGTGGTCTAGGTCTTGGCTGTCTTTCTATATATGCAGTAGCCATAGAATAAAGTAGTAGATACTCTTAGCTGACTTTTCTATGCTTAGCAAAAACAGGTACCAAAACACTGCATACAGTTTGCCTATTTTTCTCGGTGGGTAATAATTACATGTAAAAGAGGAGGAAGTAGCCTTGGTTTCTCAGACTAATCTTTTAATGCTCTGGTCAAAAGTTTGTGTAACTTACTGTGTCTGTTAAGCTCTGTTATTTTAATTATTTAAAACCACTGGATTAGCCACTAATCAGTTGAAAAAAATACTTAAGTAAAATAAAAAACATGATTACAGTTTTAAAAGCACTTGTTTTTGTAAAGTGAGGGTGGAAATACTTGCCATTAAATATTACCAAAAACTGCCAGTGCTAATAATTCTTCAGCTCTTTTGTCTTTTTTGTATACCAAATTGAAATAAATATTTTTTTTACATTTAAAACTGTGTTTTTTCACTATAGTCATTAATAAGGTTTATATTTTAAATTACAGAACTGCCACCATACTGTTAGAAATGAAGACTTGTGCTACTGAGGGGTTAGATTGAGTATGTTGGGACTAATTTTGTTTTAGAATTTAGTGAAAGTTTTGGGATTGGATTATTGGAAAGTTCTGGTACTTTCCAAAGTATTTTGGAAAGTTTTAGCAGAGTGGTTCCTTAGTAGGATTATTACCATTGAAAACCCCCATCAGTTTAAGTTTCAGAGCACTGATCATGGTAGATGTAAGTTGCAGATGAATTCCTGACGTTTGCTCTGCTGCACTTTATCTCTTCAGGGACAAAAATTAAGGACAATCTACATAGATGAGTATTCCATGTTGTGTATTTTCTGACATGGTTTAGCACCTGACTAATGCTACATAAAGTAAGGATTCCTTAAGAGAAAGCAGTTTTGTATAGAATATTTTAGCATGTGAAGTTTGATTCCTTTATTGCAGGAGCTGTGATTTCTTGTGAATATTTTGTACTTCCTCTAAACTCTGTGATCAGGTACCATGTAAGAAATTCCACCCCCTTAATTAATCCTAATCAGCAGACTTGTTAATAGATGCATTCTTGAAATGTAATGGTTGAATGACCTAACATATTACTGCTAATAAATACAGTTTCTTGCAGTCCAGAATTAAGATGTTGTAAAAGAACAGTGTGCTTAAGTTTCAAAATTCTTTTCCCTCTTCTGTTTTGTCCTTCTAATTTGCACAGGCAAATTAGACATTCTTGTGTACGTATGCTTTTTTCCTGGCAGCACCACTTCTCCTAAGGGGGAAAAAAATGCCATTTAAAATCAGTACCAGCTGAAACCAGGACAAGGGTGTAGCAGGAGACAGTGAAGGGACTGGCCACTTCAGAAAAGTTTTGCCTTTGTTTGAAAGTGAAAGGGAGACTTTAACTTTTATCATTAGATGTAATTTGTTCATACTGCATATTTGCAGCTAAGGAAAAAGAGCCTAAATATTGGTTCATTATGTTAGTGATACATAGAAAAGTCCATGGAATGATAATGTGTCTGGGAAGAGAAGGAAATTATTAAAACAGACCTTACTAGGAGATGGTTTGGATTGAGCTGCAGAAAGTCCCAGTTTTGATAGCTCTTACACTAAAAAAGCAGAGAAGAGGGAAGAGAACATACCTGATAGTCTTCGTATCAGCAGCCTTTATGGCAGACATCTTAGGTTTTATTTTTATATTTATATTAAGGAGCTTAATTTGCAGAGGATAGAGCAAAGCAGCTGTGAGCATTGTTAGTCCAAGATAGTTATCCTGACCAAATGAAGGCAAAATGCCTTGCCTTTTCTCCTGTGTCATAATTATGTGACTGGAAATGCCTACTGGACAAAAGCAACTTTCTTTTGTTATCCTTTGCTCTCTGATTATGACACCCAGGTATGCCAAGCATATATACTGTTACATGTAAGAATAAAGAACTGTTGAACCTTTAAACCTCTGGAGCGTGGAACTTAATGGGTGCCCAATGGCTGAAAATTGCACAACGCATCTGAGTGAAGCTGGAACGAAATTGAAATACAGTTTGGGTCCAGCTGTTGTCAGTTGGGTCCTTTTCTGTTGCTGCGATGTGACGGGAAGGGTGTTGCAGTTCATTTTCACTTCTGATTCTGCGACTGGTAAATTGTAACTGTTTTTCTTTCGCTGAGTGTGAACTCTGCCCTCTGTACCCAGCCTCACAAAACAGCTGGCTCACAAGGCACTCATGTTTATGTGCTGTGGCTTCTTGAGGGAGTGTGTAGACATGAAGGACAGAATCATTTTGTGGTTTTATTATAAACTACTAATTGTTTTCTACATATATAAAAATATATAAATTTTAAAAATAAATAAAAAAATAAGACCGGCGATTCTTTTTTGTTACCAGATTTCAGAGGGCAAGGAAGTACTAACAATTCTCAGCTTCCAGTTGTGGAACTGTTCCTAAAGCAATGTCATGCTTTCTAAAGGGTCTAAGTCTTGTAATAAAGACTGATATCCATTTACTCTTCCAGGAGCTGTGAAAATTGGAAGAAGACGGTTTTCCATACAAATTTAGTATAGTTTGGGTATTTGTGTTTATCTGATGTGCAGAACAGTAAAGCAATTGGGTTAGTAAAAGAGAAGATTGAATATACGTACGATAGCAGTCTTGTGCTGCATGAGAAGAGTGGTGAACTGATCTGATTTGTCCATTGACAAGAAATTGGGCTAATTTGCAGTAAAATGAATGTAGGCAAAGGATTTCTAAACATGTAGATAGTGAACTTTTCTGATTGGATAGGGATATTCCAGAATTTCCTCCTTTAGTCTTTCTAGAGCAGGTTAAACAAATATCTCTTCAGGGCTGTGGAGCAGGTAAACAGTTGTTTATTTCTTGCCTTAGTGGAGAAGGTTGGATGAGATTAGGTCCTTCCCCGGATTATTCCTTGCTGCAGGGATCATGTAAGAGCTGTCACTGGGTGG